CAAGGTAGAGCTGGAGTCTCGCCTGGAAGGACTGACTGACGAGATCAACTTCCTCAGGCAGCTGTATGAAGAGGAGATCCGGGAGCTGCAGTCCCAGATCTCCAACTTGTCTGTGGTGCTGTCCATGGACAACAGCCGCTCTCTGGACACGGACGGCATCATTGCCGAAGTCAAGGCGCAGTATGAGGAGATCGCCAACTGCAGCCGGGCTGAGGCGGAGAGCATATACCAGATCAAGTATGAGGAGTTGCAGATGCTGGCTGGGAAGCACGGGGATGACCTGCGGCGTATGAAGACTGAGATCTCCGAGATGAACCGGAACATCAGCCGGCTCCAGGCTGAGATCGAGGGCCTCAAAGGCCAGAGGGCTTTCCTGGACGCCGCAATTGTAGATGCTCAGCAGCGTGGGGATCAGGCACTCAAGGATGCTCATGACAAGCAGAAGGAGCTGGAGGCCGCCCTGCAGCGGGCCAAGCAGGACATGGCAAAGCAGCTGCGTGAGTACCAGGAGCTGATGAATGTCAAACTGGCCCTGGACATCGAGATCGCCACCTACCGCAAGCTACTGGAGGGCGAGGAGAGCCGGCTGGAGTCCGGGATGCAGAACATGAGTATCCACACGAAGACCACCAGCGGCTATGCAGGTGGTCTGAGCTCTGCCTATGGGGGCCTCACAAGCCCCGGCCTCAGCTACGGCCTGGGCTCCAGCTTTGGCTCTGTCATGGGCTCCAGCTCCATCAGCCGCACCAGCTCCACCAAGGCTGTGGTTGGGAAGAAGATTGAGACCCGCGATGGGAGGCTGGTGTCCGAGTCCTCTGACGTCCTGCCCAAGTGAACAGCTGCAACAGCCCCTCCCAGCCTGCCCCTCCTGAGGCTGCCCCAGAGCCCAGGAGGGAGGTTGCTGTGCAGGGGAGCTCAGGGAACAGGAGACCCACCTGATGCTCAGCTCTAGCCCTCAGCCCACTGGTGGGGAGTTTACTGCCTGGGGACCCCCCTTGCCCATGCCTCCAGCTGCAAAACAATTCAATTGCTTTTTTTTTTTTTTTTTTTGGTCCAAAATAAAATCTCAGCTAGCTCGGACAAAAAAAAAAAAAAAAATTAGCGCAGCGTGATGGTGGGTGCTGTAATCCCAGCTACTGAGGAGGCTGAGACACAAGAATCACTTGAATCCCGGAGGCAGAGGTTGCAGTGAGCCTGACCCTGGGTAACAGAGTGAGACTCTGGCTCAAAATAATAATAATTAAGAACAGGTGTTTGCACTTAGCTACCTAGGACTTGGAAACACAGAGCAGTTTGTTGACTTTTAAGTATTTTACTGAAAATATGAATAATAAAATGATCAAAACAATCATGTGTTATCTTGTTATTCATTCAATACGTAATAAAAAATCTCAAATTTTTTTATTTTTGCAGAAATTATCTTGGCCACTAGAGGGCTCTCGCAGTCTCCCGTTAGTTCCAGATAAATGATTTCATAAAAATACTGACAAAGGATGAGCTTTACAAAATACCAATAGCACTGCCGACACACCCCATTTCAAAATTAATTTGCAAATATATAGCAAAAAGATTTAAAATATGTACAGTCTGGGCCAGGTACGGTGGTTCACACCTGTAATCCCAGCACTTTGGGAAGCTGAGGCAGGAGGATCACCTGAGGTCAGGAGTTCAAGACCAGCCTGGCCAACACAGTGAAATCCTGTCTCTACTAAAAATACAAAAATTAGCCGGATGTGGTAGTGGACACCTATAATCCCAGCTACTCAGGAGGCTGAGGCAGGAGAATTGCTTGAACCCAGGAGGCGGAGGTTGCAGTGAATCGAGATTGGGCCATTGTACTCCAGCCTGGGTGACAGAGCGGGACTCTGTCTCAAAAAAAAAAAAAAAAGTACAGTCTTTGATCCAGCTTCTAAAAATGTATCTAACATAATAATTATGAAGTATTCCATGTATTGTTAATTTACATTTCAATTAACTGTTCAATTAAGAAGTAAATAATGTGGCCGGGCGCAGTGGCTCAAGCCTGTAATCCCAGCACTTTGGGAGGCCAAGGAGGGTGGATCACGAGGTCAAGAGATACAGACCATCCTGGTCAACATGGTGAAACCCCATCTCTACTAAAAATACAAAAAATTAGCAGGGCATGGTGGTGCATGCCTGTAATCCCAGCTACTCAGGAGGCTGAGGCAGGAGAATTGTCTGAACCCAGGAGGCGGAGGTTGCAGTGAGCCGAGATCGCACCATTGCACTCCAGCCTGGGTAACAAGAGCGAAACACCATCTCAAAAAAAAAAAGAAGTAAACGATTTATTATAAAATATGAATCTTGGCCAGGCACTATGGCGCATGCCTATAATCCCAGCACTTTGGGAAGCCAAGGCAGGCAGAGCACTTGAGGCCAGAAGTTCAAGACCAGCCTAGGCAACATAGAGAAACCCCATCTCTACTAAAAATACAAAAATTAGCTGGGTGTAGTAGTGCATGCCTGTAGTCCCAGCTACTCTGGAGGCTGAGGCAGAGAATAGCTTGAACCCAGGAGGCAGAGGTTGCAGTGAGCCAAGATCGCACAACTGCACTCCAGCCTGGGCAATAGAGCAAGACCATGTCTCAAAACATAAAATAAAATAAAAATGAATTTCAAATTACAGATTGCTAATGTAATTTCAAAGTATCTGTACAATTGGAGACTACTTTTGCAAATATATGTAAATATATTTGGAAAATATACACCAAAATGTTAACAACTTATTTGGGTGGTGAGACTGAGAGTTTTCCCTCTCTTTTGTTCTTTAGGCATTTTCCAATTCTCCATAATGAACATAAATTTTTTTTTTTTTTTTTTTTTTTTTTTTTTGAGATGGAGTTTCGCTCTTGTTACCCAGGCTGGAGCGCAATGGTGCAATCTCAGCTCACTGCAACCTCTGCCTCCTGGGTTCAGGCAATTCTCCTGCCTCAGCCTCCTGAGTAGCTGGGATTACAGGCACGTGCCACCATGCCCAGCTAATTTTTGTATTTTTTTTAGTAGAGACAGGGTTTCACCATGTTGACCAGGATGGTCTCGATCTCTTGACCTTGTTATCCACCCGCCTCGGCCTCCCAAAGTGCTGGGATTATAGGTATGAGCCACTGCACCCGGCCCAACATGAATTATTTTGATTATGGGGAAAAAATGTTTTAAACTTTAAATTTTAAATATTTTAAGTATTTTTTAATATTCATTATTATATAAGGATCCATAAAGAGTGCAGGCATACCTCAGAGATAATACGGGTTCAGTTCCAGACCACTACAATAAAGTAAATATTGGCCAGGCCTGGTAGCTCATGCCTGTAATCCTGGCACTTTGGGAGGCCAAGGCAGGCAGATCACCTAAGGTCAGGAGTTTGAGACCAGTCTGACCAACATGGAGAAACCCATCTCTACTAAAAATACACAATTAGCTGGGCTTGATGGCACATGCCTGTGATCCCAGCTACTTAGGAGGCTGAGATAGGAGAATTGCTTGAACCTGGGAGGCGGAGGTTACGATAAGCTGAGATCACGCCATTGCACTCCAGCCTGGGCAACAAGAGTGAAAGTCCATCTCAAAAAAGAAAAAAAAAAGCAAATATCACAACAAAGCAAGTCATGTAAATTATTTGGCTTTCCAGTACATCCAAAAGTTATGTTTACACTATACTGTAATCTATTAAGTGTGGAATAGCAGTTAAGACTTTTAAAAATGTACATACCGGCTGGGCGCAGTGGCTCACACCTGTAATCCTAACACTTTGGGAGGCCGAAGCAGGCTGATCACCAGAGGTCAAGAGTTCAAGACCACCCTGACCAACATGGAGAAACCCTATTTCTACTAAAAATGCAAAATTAGCCAGGCAGTTGTGCTTGTCTGTAAGTCCAGCTACTCGGGAGGCCGAGGCAGGAGAATCACTTGAACCCCGGAGGTGGAGGTTGTGGTAAGCCGAGATGGTGCCATTGCACTCCAGCCTGGGCAACATGACAGCTAAACTCTGTCTCAAAAAAATAAAATAAAAACGGCCGGGCACGGTGGCTCACGCCTGTAATCCCAGCACTTTGGGAGCCGAGGCGGGTGAATCACGAGGTCAAGAGATCAAGACCATCCTGGTCAACATGGTGAAACCCCGTCTCTACTAAAAATACAAGAAATTAGCTGGGCATGGTGGCGCGTGCCTGTAATCCCAGCTACTCAGGAGGCTGAGGCAGGAGAGTTGCCTGAACCCAGGAGGCGGAGGTTGCGGTGAGCCAAGATCGCACCATTGCACTCCAGCCTGGGTAACAAGAGCGAAACTCCGTCTCAAAAAAAAAATTACACTTGGCCAGGTGAGGTGGCTCACACCTGTAATCAGAGCACTTTGGGAGGCCGAGGCAGGCAGAGCACGAAGTCAGGAGTTCGAGACCAGCCTGGCCAATATTGGGAAACCCTGTCTCTATTGAAAATACAAAAACTAGCTGGGCATGGTGGTGCACACCTGTAATCCCAGCTACTCTGGAGGCTGAGGTAGAAGAATCACTTGAATCCAGGAGGTGGAGGTTATGGTGAGCCAAGATCTCACCACTGTACTGCAGCTTGGGCAACAGAGCCAGACTCCATGAAAAAGAAAGAGAGAAAGAAAGACAAAGAGATAGGGGAAGGAAGGAGGGAGGGAGGGAGAGAGGAAGGAAGGGAAAGAAAACTGTCTTAACCAATTTTTTAGTGCTCTGTAAAATAGTCAAAGATTTATAGCAACTAAGCAAAAACACAATCAAGGAAAAGCCATCTTTAAAATGGTAGAAAGCTTCGTGGTGTTTTCATTTACCTTTGCTGAACCCTCTCCCCAGTGTGGCAGAAGTCCTGATCTTAGAGCAGCGGCGCCCCACTTCCCTCCCTTGAACCACAGTGAGCACAAAAGACTTTATTTGGAAATCACTTTGTACATCTATTTGATCTGTCCGAGGGATACTTGAAGAATTGAGGACTCTTGTTTTTGTTCTGCATAACTCAAAATGTCGGTGGAAAAAGAAGTGGGCAGTGATTGTAAAAGATGTAAGGTGGACTGCAGACTCACAGATGCCCAGAGTAAGAGGTTACAGGTAGAAACAATTAATAGACTGCTGAGGCCTGGAGGAGAAGTTGGGCTGAAATTCTGTCAGCAAATAGAACATCAAAAAGGAGTGGTGGGACAGCCCTTTGGGAGGCCAAGGCAGGCAGATTGCTTGGGCTCAAGAGTTCAAGACCAGCCTGGGCAACATAGCAAAATACCAACTCTAAAAAAAAAAAATACAAAAATTAGCTGGCCATGGTAACATGTGTCTGTAGCCCCAGCTACTCGGTTGCTGAGGCCAGAGGATCATTTGATCCTGGAAGGTCGAGGCTGCAGTGAGCCAAGACCATGTCACTGCACTTCAGCCTAGGAGACAGAGTGAGACCCATCTCAAAAAATTTTTTTTAAAAAGGAGCAGTGTATGTAAGAGAATTTAGAAAGCCACACACATGACAAGCAAGACTCATGCCCAGAAAAAAAACCCTGACAGGACCTTAGGTATTCACCTTGGGCTGACCCCTAAGACCAGTGCAACATGCCAGGTGCGGTGGCTCACACCTGTAATCCCAGCACTTTGGGAGGCTGAAACGGGCGAATTACAAGGTCAGGATATCAAGACCATCCTGGTTAACACTGTGAAACTCTGTCTCTACTAAAAATACAAAACAGCTGGGCATGGTGACATGCACCTGTAATCCCAGCTACTCAGGAGGCTGAGGCAGGAGAATTGCTTGAATCTGGGAGGCAGAGGTTGCAGTGAGCTGAGATCACGCCACTGCACTCCAGCCTGGGAGACAGTGAGGCTCCATCTCAAAAAAGAAAAAAAAAAAACCACCAGTGCAACTTCAGGCTGATCCCTAGGATGAGAGAAAGCCTAGCTGACTGTTGAAGGAGTACCTCAGCATAGCATCAAACTGCAAAGACAAATAAATGATGGGGGTTTTTTCTTTTGTTTTATTTGTCTGCTTCTCCTTTCTAACTTTGTGCAGTTTTTGTTTCTCTTTTTCTTTGTTTCTTCCGCTCCTGGCATTCAGAATCTGTCAAAATATTAGCTGAATATTAGCTAAAGAAACAGAGACTTCAGTGACCACAGTAAGAGACAGTCTTTGGCTGGACACAGCAGCTCACATCTGTAATCCCAGCATCATGGGAGGCCAAGGCAGGAAGATTGCTTGAGACTAGGAGTTTGAGACCAGCCTAGACATAGCAAGACCCCATCTCTTTAAAAAAGGAAGAAAGAAAATGAAATAGTGTTTGCAGAAATAATTCGGAAAAGTCTCAAAACAAATGGAAAACTGCGGCTTTCAATAGTCAAAAAGAACAAGCAAAGAAATAAAATCAGCAAACCTGCATGAGGAAGAGAGAGAATCTGATTTCCACAGTCTTCATATTATAATTCTCAAATACCCAGCTTAAAAAAAAATCACAAGGCATACAAAGAAAGAGAAAAATATGACCCATACAAAAGAAGAATTTTTTCATCTCTAATGAAACCCAGACTTTACACTCAGTAGACATAGCTTTCAAAACAACTGTCTAAGTATGATCAAAGAGCAAAAGGAAAACATGAATAAAGAGTAAAGCAAATGAGAAAAAACAGTGTATGAAAGAAATGAGAATACCAGTAAAGCAACAGAAATTATAAAAAAAAACTAAATAGCAAGTATGGAGCTGAAAATGTTAATCAATGAAGTAAAAAATTCACCAAAGAAGCTTAATAACAGTTTTGAGCAGGGAAAAGAAACAGGCATTGAACTGGAGAACAGGACAACAAAAATTGTAAAATGGAAAGAAATAGAAAGAAAAATAAATAAAGTGAACAGAGCCTAAGGGACTTGCAGGACAATATTAAGTGAACTAACATACATACTATGGGAATCTTAGAATAAGAGAGAGAGAAAGGGGCAGAGAGATTATTTCAGAAAATAATGACTAAATACATCCCAAATTTGATGAAAGTTATAATTTATAAATGCAAGAAGCTCAATGAACTGCAAATAGATAAACTCAAACAAACCTTCCCCACAAAACTCTTGAAAGACAAAGGGAGAATCTTGAAAACATCAAAAGAAAAGTAATTCATCACATACAAGGGATCCTCAATAAGATTACAGTAAATTTCTCAGCAGAGACATTGGCAGACAGAAGGCAATGGAATTATGTATTTTAAATGCTGCAAGAAAAGAGCTTTCAACTAAGACATTCATATCTGGCAAAACTGTCCTTTAAAAATGAGGAAGGGGCCAGGTAGAGTGGCTCGTTTCTGTAATCCAAATACTTTGGGAGGATAAAGTGGGTGGATCCCTTGAGGTCAGAAGTTTGGGACCAACCTGGCCAACATGGTGAAAACCCATCTCCACTAAAAATATAAAAATTAGCCAGGCATGTGATGCATGCCTGTAATCCTAGCTACTTGGGAGGCTAAGGCAGGAGACTCACTTGAATGTAGCAGGCAGAAGTTGCAGTGAGCTAAGAACATACCACTGCACTGCAGCCTGGGTGACAGAGCAAGACTCTGCCTCAAAAAAAAAAAAGAGAGAGAGAGAAATTAAGATATTATCAGATAAACAAAAGCTAAGGGAGTCCTTCAGGTTGAAGCAACAGGACACTAGACAGTAACTTGAAGCTATAAGAAGAAATAAAGACCTCCAATAATGATAAATTTTTGAGCAAATATAAAAGCCATTATTATGTAATTTTGGTTTGAACCCACACTTTTTATTTTCTATGTGATGTTAAAGACAATGGCATTCAAAATTATAAATCTATGTTATTGGACATACAATGTATAAACATGTAATTTATAACAGCAATAATATAGATGGAGGGAGGGAATAGCACAGGAGCAATTTTTGTGTGCAATTTAAGTTAACATGAAATTAATTCAAATTAGATTTTTATAAGTTTAAAATGTTAAATGTAAGCCTGGTAACCAGAAAGAAAGTATTTACAGCATATACACAAAATGAGATAGGAATCAAAACATATCACTACAAAAAAATCAACTGGCTAGGCATAGTTGCTCAAATCTATAATCCCAGCACCTTGGAAGGCTGAGATGGGAAGATCACTTGAGGCCAGGAATTCAAGACCAGCGCCTGGGAAATATAGCAAAATCCCATTTCTACAAAAAAAATATAAAAATAAAAAAATAACTAAACACAAAACAATGTAGTAATGGAGGAAATGAGGGACAAAAAAAAGCTATAGGACATACATTAAAAAAAAGATAGCAAAATGGAAATAGTAAGGTCTTCCTTATAAGTATTTATATTAACTGTAAATGAGTTAAACTCTCCAATTATAAGACAGAGATTGGGAGAGGAACATTACCAATCTAGCAGAGTAGGAGATACCACCTTTTATCCCTCCACCACTTCAAAAAAACAAATATTGACAATTATTTATAGACCAAAATATTCCAAAGAGGACTCAAGACTCCATTAAACAATCTGCAACACAACAACACAATGAAGCAAAACACATAGAGAATATGCACATAGGAAAGATCACTGGTGAGATGAGCACACCTGAGACACAGGAGACAACCAGGACCAAAGAAGAAATGTGAAGACTATCGCTATAAGCAGCACAGCAAGAACCACAATGATTCTCAGTGGTCTGCTCCACTGAGGACACTACCATATCTTGTCACTGAGGTAAACAACAGCCGTTCCTGCTGGAGAACCTCAGAGAGGGAGATGTAGCTACACACTTTTCCCTGCTCCAATAAGCAGCCACTATTAACTCACTTCAAGAAAAGAGCTGTCAGCTGGGCACAGAGGCTCATGCCTGTAATCTTAACACTTTGGGAAGCTAAAGTGGAAGGACTGCTTGAACCCAGGAGTTTGAGACCAGCCTGGGCAACATAAGGATTCTCTCTACAAAAAAAAAACAAAATGCTAGTATGGAGGTTAAAAGAAAAAAACTATAAAAAATAATAGCTACAAAAATTTGTTAAGAGATATACAACATAAAGAAATGTAAACTGTGACATGAAAAATATAAAATGTGCTAGGAGGAATGGAGTAACAGCATAGTTATTTTGTGTGATGAGAGTTACACTGTCACATAAAATAGCCTGTTATAGGATGTTTTATGTAAGCCTCAGGGTAACCACAAAGCAAAAACCTATAGTGGATACACGAAGAAAAAAGTTTTAAAAGTCAGAGCATATTCCTACGTAAAATCAACCAATCACAAAAGAAAACAGCAAGAAAAAAAAAGGAGTAAAGGATCTACAAAACAACCAGAAAAAAACTAACAAAATGACAGCAGTTAGTCTTTACCTATCAATTATTACCTCGAATGTAAAGAATTTAAATTCCTCAATCAAAAGGCCTAGGGTGGTAGGGTGGGCTGGGTGTGGTGGCTCACATCTGTAATCCCAGCACTTTGAAAGGTCAAGGCAGGTGGATTGCTTGAATTCAGGAGTTCAAGGAGAATTGCTTGAATCCGGGAGGCAGAGGTTTCAGTGAGCCAAGATTGCACCACTACTATGACCAATTATTGAGTAGTTGAGAAGTACCCAAAATTTAGACAACCTGGAGAAAATGGATAAATTCCTAGACACATGCAACCTACCAAGATGAAATAAGCAAGAAATAGAAAATTTGACAGATCGTTAACAAGTACAGACTGAATCTTTTAAAAAACAAACAAACAAAATGTCACCCACCAAAGCAAAGCCCAGGACTTGATGACTTCACTGCTGAATTCTACTCAACATTTAAAAAACTAATACAGGTCAGGCATGGTGGCTCATGTTTGAAATTCCAGCACTTTCGGAGGCTGAGATGGGAGGATTCCTTGGGGCCAGGAGTTTGAGACCAGCCTGGGAAACATAGCAAGACCTTGTCTCTACAAGAAATATTTTAAAAATGATCCAGATGTGGTGGCACATTCCTATGGTCCCAGCTACTCAGGAGGCTGATCTGGGAGAATTGCTTGAGCCCAGGAGTTTGAGGTTACAGTGAACCGTGATTGTGCCACTGTACACTCACCTGGGCAACAGAGCAAAACCCTGTCTCAAAGAATAAAAAATAAAACAAAGAATTAATACGGTTGGGAGGGAGGGATGGCTCAACATTTTGGGAGGCCAAGGCGGGCAGATCACCTGAGGTGAGAAGTTCAAGACCAGCCTGGCCAACATTGTGCAACCCCATCTCTACTAAAACCAAAAATTAGCCAGGTGTGGTGGCAGGTGGTTGTAATCCCAGCTACTTGGGAGTATGAGTCAAAAGAATTGCTTAAACCTGGGAGGCGGAGGTTGCAGTTAGCAGAGATCGAACCACTGCACTCCAGCCTGAGTGACAGAGTAGAACTCTGTCTCAAAAAAAAAAAAAAAAGAACTAATATCAGTTCTTCTCAAGCTCTTCCAAAGAAATTAAAGAAGGAGAGCCAGGCGCGGTGGCTCAAGCCTGTAGTCCCAGCACTTTGGGAGGCCAAGGCAGGTGGATCACGAGGTCAAGAGATCGAGGCCATCCTGGTCAACAGGGTGAAACCCCGTCTCTACTAAAAAATACAAAAAAAATTAGCTGGGCACGGTGGCGCGTGCCTGTAATCCCAGCTACTCAGGAGGCTGAGGCAGGAGGATTGCCTGAACCCAGGAGGCGGAGGTTGCAGTGAGCCGAGATCGCGCCATTGCACTCCAGCTTGGCGAAACTCCGTCTCAAAAAAAAAAAAAGAAAGAAAAAATAAATTAAAGAAGGAAAACTTCCACACTCATTGTATGAGACCAGCATTACCCTTATTACCCTGACACCGAAAGCAGGGAAGGCCACTGCAAGAAAAGAAAGTTACAAGCCAATATCTCTAACGAACATTGATGTAAAAATCCTCAACAGGGCTCTCTTCCCGCCGCCCAAGATGCGAAAAGGAAAGAAGGCCAAGGGGAAGAAGGTGGCTCCGGCCCCTGCTGTCGTGTGAATCCCCTATTTGAGAAAAGGCCTAAAAAATTTGGCATTGGACAGGACATCCAGCCCGAGAGACCTCACCCGCTTTGTGAAATGGCCCCGCTATGTCAGGTTGCAACGGCTGAAAGTGCCCCCTGCAATTAACCAGTTCACCCAGGCCCTGGACGGCCAAACAGCTACTCAGCTGCTTAAGCTGGCCCGCAAGTGTAGACCAGAGACAAAGCAAGAGAAGAAGCAGAGGCTGTTGGCCCAGGCCGAGAAGAAAGCGGCTGGCAAAGGGACGTCCCCACTAAGAGACCACCTGTCCTTCGAGCAGGAGTTAACACCGTCACCACCTTGGTGGAAAACAAGAAAGCTCAGCTGGTGGTGACTGCACACGATGTGGATCCCATTGAGCTGGTTGTCTTCTTGCCTGCCCTGCGTCGTAAAATGGGAGTCCCTTACTGCATTATCAAGGGGAAGGCAAGATTGGGACGTCTAGTCCACAGGAAGACCTGCACCACTGTCGCCTTCACACAGGTTAACTCGGAAGACAAAGGTGCTTTGGCTAAGCTGGTGGAAGCTATCCGCACCAATTACAATGACAGATATGATGAGATCCACCGTCACTGGGGAGGCGATGTCCTGGGTTCCAAGTCTGTGGCTCACATCGCCAAGCTCGAAAAGGCAAAGGATAAAGAACTTGCCACGAAACTGGGTTAAATGTACACTGTTTTCTGTACATAAAAATAATTAAAAGAATGCAAATTTTCCTTCAAAAAAAAAAAAATCCTCAACAGGTTGGGTGCAGTGACTCACACCTGAAATGCCAGCAGTTTGGGATGCCAAGGTGAGCAGATCATTTGAGGCCAGTAGTTTGAGACCAGCCTGGCCAACATGATGAAACCCTGTCTCTACTAAAAATTAAAAAAAAAAAATTAGCTGGGCATGGTAGCAGGCACCTGTAATCCCAGCTACTTAGGAGGCTGAGGCAGGGAAATCGCTTGAACCAGGGAGGTAGAGGTTGCAGTGAGCCAAGATCATGCCATTTCTCTCCAGCCCGGGAGATGGAGCAAGACTCTGTCTCAGAAATAAATAAATAGGCCGGGTGTGGTGGTGCACCCCTATTTTCCCAGCTCCTCGGGAAGCTGAGGCATAAGACTCACTTGAACCTGGGACGCAGAGGTTGCAGTGAACTGAGAACATGCCACTACACTCCAGCCTGGGTGACAAAGTGAGACTCTGTCTAAAAAAAAAAAGTCCTTAGCAAAATACTAGCAAACCAGATTCAACAACACATTAAAAGGATCATTCACCATGAATTAGTGGTATTTATCCCTGGGTTGTAAGGATGATTTGACATACACAAATCAATAAATGTACTTTTGCCACATTAACAGAATGAAGGACAAAAAACATAATTATCTCAATAAATGCAAAAAAGACATTTGACAAAATTCAACGTATTTTCATGATTTAAAAAATTCATTTTTTTTAAATGTCGCCCATGCTGGAGTGCAGTGGCACGATCTCAACTCACTGCAACCTCTGCCTCCCGGTTCAAGCTATTCTCTGCCTCAGCCTCCCAAGTAGCTGGGGACTACAGGTGCATGCCACCACACCTGGCTAATTTTTTGTATTTTTATTAGAGATGAGGTTTCACCATATTAACCAGGATGGTCTCATCTCCTGACCTCATGATCTGCCTGCCTTGGCCTCCCAAAGTCCTGGGATTACAGGCATGAGCCACCACACCTGGCGATAAAAAACTCTTAACAAATTAGGTATAGAAAGAATGTAACTCGACAAAATAAAGGTCATATACAAGCCCATAGCTAACATACTCAATGAAAACTTGAAAGCTTTTCTTCTATGATCAGGAACAGGATAAGAATGCCCACTCTCACTACTGCTATTCAACATGGTACCGGAAGTCCTAGCCAGAGTAAATAGGCAAAGTAAATAAATAAATAAATAAAAGGTATTCAGATTGGAAGGGAAGAAATTAAATTACCCCTGTTTGCAGATGGCATGATTATAAATATGTTTATAATTATATTCATGTCTCTAAAAACTCCACCAAAAATCTACTAGAATAAATAGATTGAGTAAACCTGTAGGATATTAAGTCAACATACCAAAATCAACAGCCTGTCTATAAACCCACAACAAACTATCCAAAAAAGAAATTAAGGAAACAATCTCATTTACATAGCTATAAAAGAAAATAACCTAGGAATAAACTTAACTAAGGAGGTTAAAGAGCTGTACACCGAAAACGATAAAACATTAATGAAAGAAATTGAAAACACAATAAAATGAAAAATATCATGAATTGGAAGAATTAGTATTGCCAAAATGTTCATACTACTGAAAGTGATCTACAGATTCAATGCAATCCGTAACAAAATTCCATTTAAATTTTCCCCAGAAAAGGAAAAAGAATCCTAAAATTTGTATGGAGCCACAAAAGATGCCAAATAGCCAAAGTAAAAAGATTCTGGAGGCATCACACTACCTGACCTCAAAATCTACTACAAAGCTATGGTAATCAAAACAGCATGATACTGGCACAAAAACGAACACATAGATCAATGAAAGAGAACAGAGAGCCCAGAAATAAATTCATGATTTGTGGTCAACAATTTTCAACAAAAATGTTAAGAATACACAATGGGGAAAAGATCGTCTCTTCAATAAATGGTGCTTGCACAACTGGATATCCACATGCAGAAGAATGAAATTAGACCTTTATCTCACAATAATACAAAAATCAACTCACAATGGACTAAAGACTTGAATATAAGACCTTAAGTCATAAAACTACTAGAACTCATAATGGAAAACCTCCAGGACATTGGTCTGGGCAATGCTTTTTTGGATATGAACACAAAAGCACAGGCAAAAAAAGGAAAAATAAGCAAATGAGATTATATCAAACAAAAAAAGCTTCTGAATAGCCAAGGAAACCATCCACAAAGTAAAAAGCAACATATAGACTGGAAGAAAATATTTGTAGACCATACATTTGATAAATGGTTAATATCCAAAATATATAAGAAACAGCCAAGCGCGGTGGCTCACGCCTATAATCCCAGCACTTTGGGAGGCTGAGGCGGGTGGATCACGAGGTCAAGAGATAGAGACCATCCTGGTCAACAAGGTGAAACTCCATCTCTACTAAAAATACAAAAATTAGCTGGGCATGGTGGTGCGCACCTGTAGTCCCAGCTACTTGGGAGGCTGAGGCAGGAGAATTGCTTGAACCCAGGAGGTGGAGGTTGTGGTGAGCCGAGATCATGCCATTGCACTCCAGTCTGGGTAACAACAGCGAAACTCCATCTCAAAAAAAAAAAAAATACATAAGATGGGCCGGGCGCGGTGGCTCAAGCCTGTAATCCCAGCACTTTGGGAGGCTGAGACGGGTGGATCACAAGGTTAAGAGATCGAGACCTGGTCAACGTGGTGAAACCCCGTCTCTACTAAAAATACAAAAAATTAGCTGGGCATAGTGGCGCGTGCCTGTAATCCCAGCTACTCAGGAGGCTGAGGCAGGAGAATTGCCTGAACCCAGGAGGCGGAGGTTGCGGTGAGCCGAGATCGCGCCATTGCACTCCAGCCTGGGTAACAAGAGTGAAACTCCGTCTCAAAAAAAAAAAAAAAAAAAAACATAAGAAACTCAAACAACTCAATAGCAAGAAAACAAGCAACCTAATTTTTGTTTATTTACTGTTTTTTTGAGATAGTGTATAGCTTTGCTGCCCAGGCTGGAGTCCTGTGGTGCAATCTCAGCTCACTGCAACCTCTGCCTCCTGGGTTCAAGCAATTCTCCTGACAGCCTCCCAAGTAGTTGGAACTACAGCCATGCGCCACCATGCCCAGCTAATTTTTGTATTTTTAGTAGAGACAGGGTTTCACTATATTGGCCAGGCTGGTCTTGAACTCCTGACCTCAAGTGATATGCCCGCCCCAGCCTCCCAAAGTGTTGGGATTACAGGTGTGAGCCACTACACCTGGCCTATCTATTATTTAGTGTTTTGAGACAGTCTCACTCTGCTGCTCATGTCGGAGTGCAGTGGTGCAATCGTAGTTGCACTGCAGCATTGACCTCCCTGGACTCAGGTGATCCTCTCATCTCAGCTTCTTTAGTAACTGAGACTATAATAGGTGCTTGCCAACATGTCTGGGTACTTTTGTGCGTGCGTATTTTTTGCAGAGATGGGATTTCACCATGTTTCCCAGGCTGGTTTTGAACTCCTGGGCTCAGGCCATCTGCCCACTCTGCCTCCCAAAGTCCTGGGATGACAGTGTGAGCCACCGTGTCCAGCCCAAATAACCTGATTTTAAAATGGGCAAAGGATCTAAAGATACTTATTAAAAGAAGACATACACACCTGTTAGAATGGCTATTGTCAAAAAGACAAAAGATACCAAGTGTTGGGATATGGAAAAAAAAAACCTTTCATACAGTTGGTAGAAATGTAAATTAGTACAGTCATTATGGCCAACGGTATGGAGCATCTTCAAAAAATTAAAAAGAGAACTACCATATAATACAGATATCCCACTACTGGATATATACCAAAAAAAAAATGAAATCAGTGTGTCAAAGATTACCTGTACTCCCACTCATTACAGCATTGATTAGCAATAGCCAAGATATGGGCTCAACCTAAGGGGCCATCAGTAGTAGAATGGATTTTAAAAATGTGGTGGCTGGGTAAGGTGGCTCACACCTGTAATCCTAGCACTTTGGGAGGTCAAGGCAGGAGGATTGCTTGAGCTCAAGAGTTCAAGACCAACCTGGCCAACAGAGGGAGACCCTCTCTCTACAAAAAAATTTAAATTATCTGGGCATGGTTGCATATGCCTGTGGTCACAGCTGCTCAGGAGGCTGAGGGGAGAGGATGGCTGGGGCCCAGGAGGTCAAGGTTGTAGTGAGCCAGGATCATGCCACTGCACTTTATCCTGGGTGACAGAGCAAGACCCTGTATCAACAAAAAAGGAAGGAAGGAAGGAAGGAAGGAAGGAAGGAAGGAAGGAAGGAAGGAAGGAAGGAAGGGAGGGAGGGAGGGAGGGAGGGAGGGAGGGAGGGAGGGAGGGAGGGAGGGAAGGAGGGAGGGAAGGAAGGAAAAAGAAAGAGAGAAAGAAAGAAGGAAAGAAAGAAAAAGAAAGGGAGGAGTGAGGGAAGGAAGGACAGAAGGAAGGAAGGAGAGGGAGGAGGGGAAGGAAAGGGAAGGGGTAGGAAGGGAAAAGAAAGAGAGGGAAGGAAGGTAACAGAGGGGAGTGGAGGAGAAAGAAGGGGAGAGGAGGGGAAGGAAAAGAAAGAAAATGTGGTTTTTGTAGCATATATACACAATGGAATGTTATTCATTCGTGACAAAGGACAACCTGTCATTTTCAACGACATGGATGAAACTGGAAGATATTATGGTGGTGGTTGTTTGAGAAGTCTGGCTCAGTCGCCCATGCTGGAGTCTGGTGGCACGATCTGGGCTGACTGCAACCTCCATGGAGGGTATTACGTTAGGTGAAATCTGCCAGGCACAAAAAGACAAATACCATGTGATCTCATATGTGGACTATAAAAAGTCAATCTCATAATCAAATGGTGGTTACCAGAGCCTGGAGAGATTGAGATGTTGGTCAGACACCACCAAATCTTAAGAGGAATAGTTCAAGAACCTGTTACATGGTGGTGACTAAAGTTAATATATACTTGAAAATTGCTAAGAGCGATTTCGTGTCCTTGCCACAAAATAATAAGAATGTGAGATA